GGGCCTTGTTTTTTTCGAGCCCCCCCCGCAGAACGGGAAAAAAAAAAAAAAAAAAGATGTTGAAGATGCTGCCTGGCAACAGCTCTGCGAGGCGGCCAGAGGGACAACCGCCAGAAAAACAATCCCTTAAAATCCCGCGATTTCCAGCCACCTTTTAATCTTGAGGGGTATTAAGCTGGCGTTAAACTCACAAAGGATTTTCCATAGCGGCACTCGGCTGATGGTGCCTCCACGCTGACCTTTGCAGTCAATCACTCCGGCCGGAGACTGGCGGCGCGCTACAGCGGCGAGGCTCCATCAGGAACTGTAAAACACACTTGGCCGTGACGGCTGTCGAACCATCCCGAGTAAACCTGCAGCCCCACCGCCCCTGAGCCGCATTTCATTCCTCTTCTACGGGGATCGAATATGTTTTTGCCTTCTATGACATGCGTGCACTCACGACCAACAACAAGGCGCTCTAAATCGGCCGCTTGGCCATCAAGCCTGGCTCAATGAGATGCTTTTGGGCTAACAAGTCAGCTGCCGATCCGAAGTGAAAATGTTTGACGGTGAAAAACTGTTGAATGCTACATACTCACAATTCAGTACTACATAGCAGCCTTTGCAAAATGTCAGCAATTGCCTTTTAATATGTATAACGCACGGTCTTTAAATATGTCCGCGATGTTGTATTTCTGTCAATTTCGGAACTTGAGGTGAAAGGAATGACAATTGGGTATTCCTATTGCGATCAAATTTGAGGGAGGCAGCATGAAAGGGTTGAGAGGCGGATCCGACATGTTTCAAAACACTCGTAACCATTTGTAATTATGAGATCAGAAACAAGCGGGAAAGGGAGAAAGACAAAACAAGGCGAGATAAAGCAGGATTACAGGGAAGTTCCATCATGCCGCCGCTCCGCTCATTTGTTCAGGCAGCCTCGCAGCTGTAATTGTCGCGGCAGGAGAGTGGGAATTCCTCGGCGGATCGAGGCATCGAGGCCATCGTGTTTTTGCTGGATTTTCTCTGGCTTTATTGCAGTCACAACATTAATCAAAGTTACAAGCGGCGACCAACGGGCCACTGCCATGGGAAGGGGGGCTGCCGGCCAGTTTCGACACAAATCTCCTCAGCAACCTTCATCACACGCAAGATGTTTTGGTCAAGCTTTGACCTCGGGGAGTTAAGAAGTTGATGTTTTATCACGAGTCACCAAAATACGCCATGATGCTCCGCCTGGAAGATTTCGATATGTGGTTTAAATTTGGGAGCAATCGAATACAAATTTCAAGGAGTTCGTTTTGGAAGGTCCACTGAAAACGGCTCAGTTGTTTGACTTCCTGTGTCATTTTGGACATGCCTTCTGATTGAGACTTTTTTGTGGGTCTGCTAATGATAGACATGCCTCGTATGGGGGGGAAAAAACTCAAAATGGCAATTTATTTGGCATATTTAATGGTTTGCCCTTGTCTGGGAGGCTAATGCTACAGTCCATCAAACGGGTGTCCCTCAGGGTTAAGTTCCAGAAACTCTTTCATTTGGCATCATCGTTAAATCGAATTGTCATCCAATTGCTTTGCTTGTTTTAGTCCCTCAAAGATTTCAAGTCTCTTTGCATTGCTTCTCCCTCATTGACATGTACAGCCCCATTTGCCAGTGCTTAATTAATTCTGCGCTTTTTGCTACGCACACAACATTAATGAATTTTCCCTTTCGATGGAGCGCGAGAGATAAGACAAAATTAGTCTGGGGTAATAAAGAAAGAAAAAAAAAAAGATGGCAAACATTCACTCGCCCCAGGGTTGGAAATGCTGAGCGCTGACATTTCAACCCTTTAAGAGTTTACCCGCAGTGACGACTGTCACGCGGAAAACTGCTGAGTCAGGGTTGGGCCAACGGCTATATCTGAATTCAAAGTGTGGCGTGTTAAATTATCATGTGCACCCAAAAAAAAAAAAAAAAAAAACATTTCCATAACTGGGCAATTAATTGTTTTACTGCGGTAATCTGGATTTGTAAAGAAACGTCTCTCTGACAAGCAAGCCGAGAGATAGACCCCCCCTCCACCATCCCCAATAAAGAAAAAGGGGTCTAGTCTCAGAAGAAGACGCTTCGCACGATGAATCATGCGGTTTCTGCAAGAGGCCGACAGTAGGGGGCCAGGGGGAGGGGGGGGGTGCTCTCAAACATCAAGATAAGGATTTATAGAGCTCGCAGTGGTGCCAAAATGTCAAAAAAGGATCAGAGGCAAAAAGAAGCTCACAATGTAGTCAGAGCGGTAGGGCGCAGAGGCTCACTGACTCCATTCATGTTTAATTCTTACTTTTCGAGCAGGGTGACATTTCAAATTGTCCCTCACCTCGAACATTGCGTCTCGCTATTCAGAACGGCGGTGACCTCATTTCGAGAGCACGTTCAAGAGACGCACTTTATGCCTGGAGATTGAGGGCAACCAGGAAAACAGTGCTGCAGCAACGAGGAGACTGCGGACGTGTGGCGTGGCTCTTTCGGCCTGTGGACAATAAGATTGTTCAGATAGCAAAAGAAGATGCCCCCCCACCCCCCATGCATAATTCAACGATAAATAGCCGGAGAGGTAATGCAACAGAGGGCGCGACGTTCTTTCTGTGTGGCTCGCAGGTAAATAAACAGAGCGCTTTGAACGGGGCCTCCTTTTTCCTGTTGACAGAGCGCGACGGCAACGGAAGATAAGCTGAGGGGAAATAATTGCCCTGTCTGATTCAACATCTATATGAGATTGCAGACTGTTTGCTCGTTGTAAATCAGCGGGCGAGAAATTATACTGTGTTTGTGTCAGGAGTTAAGGAGCCCGCGGAATGCTAAATTATTACCTTCTTCTCAGGTCGGATTTAGTTTTGCGCTGTGCTGGCAGGTAGCGTAAAACACAATTTCACCGACTTGCAAATTTACGGAGAAGGGAGCGTCGTTCACGTCTCAAGACGATGCACAAAAAGTCCCACATTGCTATTGGCGGGGATGGAGGTATCACCGAGTCGAAAAAAAGTCATAAAATGTCCATTACGCACACATTTTTGTAACGTGGCTTAAAAGGGTTCACTTTTTACGTGTCAAACCAGACAAGTCGTCTTTTTCTCAGGTTGCATAAAGTTTTGTTGGGTTGGGAGTGAAAGGAAAAGGTCAGACAATTAAAAGCGAAGCAAACAAGAGGCGGCGTTTGTGAACAACAACCGATGGCGTGACGCCATCGTGAGTTGGGGGAGTACTTGTCGATGCCAAAATGCCTTGAGCAACTGGCGGCGACCAAAACAAGCACTAAGTGGATTGGATGATTTCATGGATTAAGGGACCCCCAAAATAATTGGAGTCTCAGATTTCATAGAGAATGGGATTACAGAGCAACCCCAACGGATTATTCTGAACAAATGCCTTCACATTTGGGTACGACCAAAGACTCCCGGATATTCTTGCATTTTTTTTTGTTTTGTTTTAATTTAGGAAAGGATGCGAGGGATATTTTGTGCTATTCAACAAGTTATTTTCGCCAGCATATTTCTTGTACCTACATGTTTGAGCCACAAAAACATTTTGAGCCTCCGGTCATCACTGCGCTCTTTCGTGCTGTGACAATGAGGCACTCTAAAGAGGTTCACTTTTTTTTTTTTTTTTTTTTAATAGAAAGAGATTAAAAGTAAATTCAGGGTTTATGGTATGGTATTGACATACGTGATGCATAAACTCATCACATTCCAGAAAAGCAGAGAAAATGGATTTGCCAAGATATTACGTGCCCGCACCCTTCCACCTTCTCTCCGACGTGCACTCACGGCTGACAATGGGACACGAACGATTTTTGTGGCAGTTTGGTCTCACGTGAGATTTTTCGAATGTAAATTATGTGCTACGGCTCAAGAAAGGGTAGGCACAAGATTGAAAGGAGCTCTCACGAGATTAGCAAATTTTGTTTCGTAAGCAAGGCAATTGCGAGGCTAAGAATTGTGATCTTTGCCTTAATTATGCAGGTTGATCCCCGTTACTTGGCCTTAAGTGGCTGTAATACACAAAGCTTTATGACTAAGCCCAGTCATTAGCGCCGAATGACTCCCTATCTTTCTCCACGCCTCTTAGGAACCATGGTGAGCAAGGAGGGCGGCAGATACATGCTCACCAACTCTGAATCTGACTCGGAGGCGGCGGTGGCACCCTTACCACCCACCGCCTCGCTGGCGCTGCAAGTCAAATATTCTCTGGATGCCAATCGACAGGTGAGGAAGCGGAACAAGGCCCTGCAAGTGCGTTTCAAGGATATCTGCGAGGCGCAAAACGAGCAGAGGGAGGCGGAGTTGGCCAAGGACGGGAATCCTCTCTCTTACAAAGCGGCGTACCGCAAGTACATGACCGTTCCGGCCCGTCGATCCATTCCCAACGTCACGCGCAGCACCGGGGTGCAAACGTCCCCCGACCTGAAGAAGCGCTACCAGACGTTCCCCTTCGAGCGCAAGAAAGGGCACGCGTTGAAGCACGCGGCGCCCGCGGAAACGTACAGAGGTCAGAATAACGGCTTTGTCGTGGAGGTGAAGCCGGATGCGCCGCGGTGTTTTGACGACGAGGCGGAGGAGGAGGAGGGAGCTCGCGGGGGGAGCAGAGTTTGGCGGACCAAAGCGCTGCTCCACACAAATGAGCGCGTGGCTACGGTGGAGCAGCACGCGGCACCCGACGGCGATGCGCTGCCGCCGGGTTGCGCCGTCAACGCGGACTACCAGCTCTGCAGCGTAGCATCCAAAGCCAGTGCGGGATTTCCACCGGGAGAAAGGCGGCCGCTCGATCACGAGGAAGTCTCGCCGTGTTCGCGAAACCTGCCTGAAAGGGCCTCCAAGGTGACCGGGCCTATCGCGTGGAACTCCCTCACCCAAGTGGAGTGCCTGGAGAGCCTGTCGGCACGGCACAAGCGTAAGAAAAGCCTGCAGCCCGACGGGCCGCAGAGCGAAACGTTGCCGCGCGCCGGCCGAGGCTGCGCCGCGCAGGCGCAGCGTCATCCCGCGGACAAGCCCCAGCGGATGGCGGCGGCTGACCAGGAGGCCTGTAAGCAAATCGTGCCTGTGGATCAGGACGGGCATGTTAAAGCACAGCTTCAAGCCATGGAAAACCTCATCAGCTCCAGCCAGGAGACCATCAAAGTGCTTCTGGGGGTGATCCAAGAACTGGAAAAGGGGGAGGCCCACAGAGAGGGGTAAGTGCATCTCACCTTAAGCCATGTCGGTAGCATTAATCCAAAATCAAATACTTTGCCATTCTCTCGGTGATCGTTAACTATGTCTGAAATTCCACCGCATTTAAGTTTGACTCAATCTACCCGTTAAAATGAAGACCATTCTTTCCAAGCAATTGATCTCGCTACTGCCACTTGCGACGTCATGGTCAAGCAGTCTACAGCACGTGCCGGCAGACCTCGGAAATACACATTTGTGGCTCAATGGCGACTGAGTTTATAAAAAAAAAAAAAAAAGGCAGATAGCATCGAGGCAGCTGGGAAATAGAGGACTGTTTATCAGAAAAGAGGCCAACAAAGGGGGCAATTTGATGAGAGAATTGCGAGGCCCTGGGCAATCAGATACTTTGAGGTGTGGACTGGCGTACAAATCGCTCATCTCAGGGTTGGCTGTTCATTTTTTGTGAGAGGAAAAGTGTAAATGCCATTTAGTCTCGCCATCGATCTCCAACGTGCAAAACTTTCAACAATGTCTCCGAAATTTCGCTCTCTCTTGAAATTTGCCATCAGTGAACACAAGACCAGCTCAATAAAACACCAAGTCCCGTGGCTGTCCTGTCTAATAAGATTCGCGAACATGCTTTTTACACCCGCCCGCACGGTGACCTTTTTAAGGTGGATAAAAATCAGGGTGCTCAAAATAAGGCTAATGGCGCCTTTGCTTTCAGTCTCCCGCATGGGAGACCTGCTCAACAATGGCGCTATTTTGTCTTATTAGCTCAGCGTGAGATGGGCTGCGACGGCGTGGATTTGGAGGCAACCAGATTGCTGTTTTTGTGTCTCTGTATAGATATAAAAAAATCATAAACAAATAGAGGCATGCCTTTACGGCGTTCTCTAAAACGCGGGAGAAAAAGTGCAATTTCCCCCCCCCCACAACTTACAACAAGGAGGGTCTCAATAAAATGTCTGCTTCGGTAATAACAACTCTAGGAAGAATTACAGCAGACTGTGTTACCATGACGACTGCAGAGCGTAAATCCTGGGTGGCATGGCTTTTATGTTTCCAACCACGAGTTTGTACAGCAGAATGTGGTGTCGGTTAACTTTTTGTAATTCCCACTTTCCCAACAATGCCGCGTTCCCGATGACGAAAATTAAAATCCAAATGAAATGAAAGGAGATAAAAGCGGCGCTGATTGCAAATCCCAAACGATGCTGGGACGCCATCTACAGTCCTCGCTTAGTCATTACAGTACTTTACAAACCTGAATTTCACCGACGAGCTTGGTGAGACCCGCTTCCAAGCCTTCCCTTTTTTGGGAATGTCGAGACGTCAGTAACATCCACACGGATTTGTCAGGCTGCAGCGGCTATATGAGTGACTGCTACCAAGTAATGAAACAAAGTGGCGCTTCTCAGAACTTCGTCTGTGTCGCCAACAACACTTTTGGCTCAGAAATGATGGTTTTGCCAAGTCCGAATGTGGACCTTTGCCCGAGCGGCTGCCAAGTACAACATTAAAAAATGCAATATAACTTATCTACTTGGTCGTGTCACTGCAAAGGCAGAGACCCAAATATGTGTACACGAGCAATTACAAACCCACTTTTCCAAAATATGTCGCCTTTAATTAACGCTCAAAAACATCACCTTCAGCTCATCCCGTTCTCCGACCTCAATGGCGTGAAATACCACGCCGGCATCCACACCCCCCCGATATATCTGTCAGAGCATATGGCGGGAAAAGGATTAGATAAGGAGCGGGGAATTTATGATCGGTGTTTAATTTTTTTCCTTTTTGACTGGCGCAGCACCTCGGAGAGAGAATGATTAGGAGACATGATGAGCTAAATGCGATCGCTAACGCATTCGTCGGACGTGGTCATAAAGCGGCAAGAGATGATGGGGTCATCAAACAGCAATGTCGAACATTCCATTTAAGAGTTTGGAGATATCTTCTCACACACACACACGCACACAATGGAGGTAAACCCCTTCTGCAGTGCTCAAGATGGAATATTACGTGAGCGAAACATCCCATTAAACCCACATAAAATGGGAGCTATCTTTGTGGCTGGGTATGAGCGGAGGGAGCAATAGAAGTGCTTTGTTGCCTGAGAAAGAATTGAGCCTGCGGTGTACTCAAAGGGGTTCGATTGCATCAAAAATGTTCTTTACGAGGCCTAAACACAAGAGAAGTGGACTTGGGGATTGTGGAATTTTTAATTGCAATATAAGAGGTAATGGTCGGCTTTGTTGGAAAAATAGGATGAGGGTGTTATCTTTCTGTCTTTGTTCTGAAGTCCTGTTTCCGGAGCCGGTGTTGAATTAGCTGGACGTGGCCTCATGTCACACAGGTCACGACATATCTTGCAGAAAATTAGACAAGACTGACTCAACAGCACCTGTACTGGTTGCAGCCAAGAAGTGCACTCCCTTTTTTCGCTTCAATGTCAAATCAATTCCAATCCATCCAAAGAGTTGTGAACGCTCAGTGGATGACACATCGAGCTGAAACAAAGAACTGAATTGTGCAAACAGAAAGTCAACGTATTAAAACAGCAAATGTGGCTTTAGGTAAATTGCCGCCTGACATTTAGCCCCTGCCCTCCCTCCGTCGAATAAAGAACAATAATAAAAAGACGAAATGACAGCGTAGGAAAATAATTAGCTTCTGCGCCCTTCTGAGCCGAGTGTAATTGTGAGCTAATGTTGTCAATCGGGTGGTCAGGCTTTGATTAAGCTAGCCCTTAGCGCAGCACGCAGAGTCACCTCCACTCTCAATCAGCGAAGCGTGGCTAATGCCCCCCCACCGACTCTCGCGCTTGCCGGACGCTCAGCCGGGCGGCGTGACTCCCCGCTAATGAGCGGGAGACGTACGCCGGCGAGAAAGCGGGAGCGGCTTAACAAGGCCTGTAATTATTACACACTCACCACTCTCATCTTCCTTCTCCCCGCAGGCTCTCCTATCGCACCGGACAGGACACAGCCAACTGCGACACATGCCGGAACAGCGCATGCATTATTTACAGGTCAGTGGCGCGACCCCGTCAAAGACACAAATGTGCCGTCGTTCCTGCTTGGGGGGCGTGGGGAGAAGGAGCAGGTGTGGAAGTGACAGGACCTTGGCGGGGAAGCGAAGGAGGGAGCATGGAAAGTGAAGGATAGGAGGGAAGGGGTTGGGGCAGGGTGTCGAGTCAACTTTGCCTCCTTGCACACTTTCAAAACCCTGAAAAGCACACAGGTCTCAAACTTTAGTCCTTGATGGCCGCTGTGCTGCACGTCTTAGATGTTTGCCTCCTCCAATTTACCGGACACAAACGATCAGGATTGTTAGCAGGCTCCTGCGGAGCTTTCTGCCAGTCATTTTGCGACTTGTTTGAGATAAAGATGCATGTTGGCAATGGAGGTCAGGGTTTGAGGTTTGATAAAGGGGCTCATGTTTTAGGGTCTGGGGGTTCAAATGCAGGAGCTGAGGCTTGAGTTACAAGTTGCCTTTCGGAGCGAGGCCGAGAGCTTAACATTAGGGGTTGCGGTGATCTATTTTTTTTTCCACCCTCGCTCAGCAGTCATTGACTTAAAAAAAAAAAAAGGGCTTGAAGTAAAAACGTGTGGGGTCATGCGAGATGTGCGTGCGTCAAGTCAGGCATGCAAAAAAAAAAAAAAAAATCACGTACTTCCCCGCAGGTGAACAAAATTTGAAAGCGTTGGCGCGGCAGCGCGACACGAGCCGGATTACGGCGCTGATGTCAAAGACAGAAAGAGAGCAGCGTGACGACTTTGGACAAGTTAGTGACACGGAAGCTCGCGAGGTGTCATTAAATGAGTCAGTAACGCGTTTCATGTTGAAATTGGTGCGATTTTGGCCCGGGGAAGTCACGTTCCGGCTCCCTCCGGTCTTCTTACTCTTCATCTCTCTGCTGTGTCTGCTTGAGTAGAGACAGACTGCGGCTCTCTGGAGAACATCGCTAACCTTTGCGGTGGGTACAAATGACAATTCCTCTTACAAACCTCAACAACTCAATACTGAGCGTTCTCATAGATATTCTTGGCCGATAGGGATGTAGCAATTGATTTATAAATGTGCGTCTTTTATGTCGAGCCATTACTCAGGATGGTCCAAGAAGCAGCATAATGCGCAATTCGATAACACGACACTTTGCCAACAATGGTGAAGACTGATATGACTAAACACAAAAATACACTTTTCCAGCACAGTAGCAAGCCGATACGTCCAGGTATAAATCAAGTCACGCCGATTGGCGTAAAAACAAACAAAAACACGCTTCCTCGATCTACGACAAGCCTGCAAAACACTTCCCAAACAACTCTCCCAATGACACGCAGAGCAACAGAATCCCCCCCGCAAATGTACCCGGGTTTCCTTTTTAAAAGGTCTGCGCCCAGCCTTGAAATCAGCGTTGGTTTTGAGAAAATGATCTCAATTGGACACACACTCAAATATAGCAAAAGCATTGATGCAGGCTGGAGGATTAAAAGGCAATCTAATTACCTCCATCTCCATGAAAGCTACCTCTCCGGAGGTGGAAGAACACAAGAAGGAGGAAAGCAGACCCCGGTTCGGAAGCATAGCCGTGACGGGAAACAAAGTGCGCGTGGGTAGAATAGCTGTCGTACAGTCAGCGCGGAGAAGCAAGCGCATTTGAGTTGGGCGAAATCGGATTGTTACTGAAGCAACGTAAGGTTATGTTGAATCGTATCATCGTTCGGGTATATTGCATCACGACAACATAACAGAGAGAATCGAATTGCGTCGCATTTGGAGTCAATCCGAGAAATCGGATCATCCCGGAGTGCGACGCGAGTAACTCCGTACGTGTGGCGCATCCGTCTTGTCGTACCCAGAATGACTCGTACTGCATGGGAGTCGCTTGGTCCATGTTAATAAATGTGGGGACCCATATAATACGCTTTGGTCTTTGGGGCCGAGGCAATTCATTATGACGAGAACACAGCGAGAAGGGAGGGGACGCCACACACCCTGCACATAATCAATATATCAAAACGCAGAACCACGGCACCGCATCCGAGTCCGAGGACTTCAAGCAGAATTCACAAACGCAGCCGGCCTTGCCAGGTTCAATTCCCCCAACCCCAGCCCGCCCTCTTTTTTTTTGAAGATCCCTGAACCATATCGCCTGAATGCGTTATCGCCTTCAGGCAGCGCAGCCGACGGGAAGGGATTCAGCACTTTTTCACACAAACGTGCGCGGCTTTGAATCGGGAGTGGGCGAGAAGAGGGATGAAAAGATTAGTGGCCTCTGTGGCATATCGTCGGGTGATGTAATACCTCAAGGTGTGGAAGGGGAGCAGAGAGGGGAAAGAGAGACCCAACGGAAAGTCAATGAGGCAGATGAGAAGATCTTGAACCACGGTCGTGGAATTTTGCCGCATGTCTTTGTGGACCACAGTGTCCCTTTACTATACGTTACAGTTTTTTGGGGTGTGTGGGACGTCTGCTTGCCTGATGACATTTAGACACTGATAACTGGGCCGATGAGAGCTGATAAATCTTTCATTGAACCGCCCTGATGATCTTTTCAGCAGACTCTTTTCAAACAAAGCCGCCGCACTAACCTTTGCCTGCTCATGGAGCCACTTACAACAAAAACGTGATGGTTGGTCGTATACACGGACGAAGACACGTTCACCAGAAAACGAGTCTCCAAGTGGTGTTTTTTTTTTTTTTTTGTTTATCCTTATGTGACCACTTCCAGCAAGCTTTCTTGGCCATTCCAAACAACACCTCTTTGCTTTTACTTGAATGTTTTCATGTAAACACTCTCCCTTCGTAGATTAATCGTCTTAATGATCTCATTAGATGCATCCGAGGTTTCCCCTAATTACTCACTCTTTCCGAGCGGTCAACTGCTGCTTCTAACAAATTGCTACCTGACACCAGTAAGACCCAGGGTGGGATTAAATGCAATTCTATGCAAATGTGCCGAGCGGCCGCGGATTATAAATGTAAATGGCCGCCGGCGAATTAATTACTGTAAAAATAGCCGTTTCCGAAATGAGCTTAAATGGACTTTTCTGTCCATGCAGGGAAATAATAACTTGTAGCCACAGATGGTGAGCAACAACGGTCTCAACAGTATTATGGGCTTACTCCGAAGAGCAAGGAAAAGCCTATTATGGCGATAGTGTTGGCGTACGCGTGTGTGGGTACGTGCGAGCGATCCCCGAAGAAAAAGGAGGAAAACAGAAAACGGCAGCAATGGATGAGAACATGCCCCTCGGATGCTTTGGCACAGACGCAATTAAGGCTTTGTGAGCGATGAAAGGGCCACACGGAAATACTTTGGCGGCAATATCCGCAAATCCTCATTAGCCTCTGACAAAACACGCCACGTCATTGATCACACCAGACCGACACGTCGCGCTAATTTGAGCTCCGACGTCAAACTTTGCTGCCTGCGTCAATAACCTTTAGCGGGCTACACTGAAAATACAAAGCGTGGGGAATCAAAGCTGAGAGTCGGCCACTCACGCGACCCGGATCTGAATGTAGAGAGGTTTGAAGGAAAGCAAGAGCAAGAGGCCTCCCCCGATCAGCCCATCGATTAATTGGACACAAATTTATTTTGCGTGATTAAACATCGAAATGTGCACGTGAGGTGCATTTAGCATCGTTGTCCACCTGGGGTCGCCATCCTCTCGTACCACAATATATCGGTGACTTTTCTTTCCCTTTTCAATTCAACATCAAAAAAGCTCAAACACAAAAGCTGATCTCAGTGTTTTTGTGATTTGAGGTTTCTTTTTGGGGGGGGGGGGGTTAAAACTAAGATATTGTGCCAAGGGCATTTTAAGTTTTTTTTTTTTTTTTTTTTAAATGGGTTCCAGCTCACCCAGACTCAAGTGAGGATAATCGGTACAGAAATGGGATGAATGGATGGATGTTCCAAATGCTCTCCCATTATCGATCGAGGCGTTCGTGCATAAATTCTCCTCCCGTTCCAGTGTTTCCATAATAGCTCTCCCATTAGCTTTACAGTCACAAGACACATTCCAAGGCTACACACTTGGACCAACTATGCCCTGATTGATTTCTACCCTCTGTAATTAAGCGATTGTGATTTATTTGCCAATTACTGCGGTGGTCTCGGCCTCGAGTTTAAAAAAAGGCCTGAGTCGGGGGGGGGGGGAAATGCAAAGTGCTGAGAGCGTAGCCTCACCGCCGCAGGAAGTCATCCATTTTGGTTCAACGCGGACATTTTAGAATCATGTTGGCCATTTCCAGGGCACGTTCAAACAACACCTATTTCAAACCATTGTCGTTGCGTGTGGCCATGTGTCTAAAGTCTGACAACTGAAACTGCCAACTTCAGGTCAAAGATTGCGTTCAATCCCTCCCTTTTTAATATCTTAAAAAAAAAAAAAAAATCTAAGTGTCAGAAGAGCCTGCTGCCAAGCTCACCTTCACACCAGCCAGCCAGCCAGCCGGCAATCACGAAGCAAATCCTGCAGCCGTTATGCAAGTGTAGCCTGTCGCAACCCCCACACGGCCCTCATCAAGCCATCCGGGTGCTGGTAGTACCGGAGGACGCTTCGGGAGATTAAAAGTGCCAGCGCATTTAGCGAGGCTGTAATCTCGGTCCTCCCCTGCCCGCCATTTAGCAGAAGCTAGCGGTCAAGTGCCTGCCAGGATTAAAAAAAAAAGAAAAAAGATGGCTGCTGCAGATAACTCACAATATACCAGCCTCAACCAATGTGAAGTTTAACTGATTCCATGCCAGCCATTTTCAAAACAGAGTTTGCCAAATTTCCAGCCATTTAGTGCTTCTTGACTGATTTTTCAAGGCACAGAGCCACTAAATCCCTGCTCGAAATTACATCCAAACCAATTTTGCGAAAGCTGCGTACTCAAGTCACCCATTGCTTTGGTTGGTTGTGCGTAAAAGACCGGGGCTTTTAGGCTCTTTTTTTTTAGGGCTATTCGAGAATCTTGTGGTGAAAGCGGTGACTGGGTCACGTTGGGTATGATTTGATGCTAGTGAGCCAGATCAGGATTCAACCATACTGCATGGTAAAATTGCTTTTTTTTTTTTTTTTTTTTCCCGAGGTGGCTGATCTGTTTTCGTCCCTTTTGCTTGACAGTGTGGAGCTGGATTTCAAGCAGCAGGAGGACAAACTGCAGCCTCTCATGAAAAGACTCTGCCCCTCGGACGACAGCCACTTCCCCGCCTTGCCGTACCCCCACGAGGCCTTCACATCCACGCCCAAGCGCAAGTCCAAAGCCGAGTCCAAGAAGCACGCCCGATGGAGACTTTGGTTCATGTGAATGCATCGCCGGGGCGGGAGGGAGCCAGAACGTCACGCTTTCCTAACTCGGGAACTTCCGCCTGGAGCCATTTTGGAAGCAATTGTCGTCAAACTGGGAGTGAAATCGCACCTGGGGGGGCGGGGCCACACTTTTGACAAAATGTGATGAGCAGCTCCTTTCGAAGGTGCCGTCTAATGAAATTCCGGACTTGGGTCACGTCGGGACTACATGGGTTTGCCTCTCACCATACAGCAAAGCACAACAAACGCAGTTCAGGAAACACTTTTCCCCCCCAAGTACCGAGACTATTTTCACGCGTGAAACTGTTCATACCGTCTCAAGGAAGAAAGCTACGATCAATTTTATCCATCTCTCAAATGTCACATTGACTTCTCGACTAACTTTGAAGGAGATGTACATAAAAAGAGTCTTGTTAAATGAAACTTATTTTCTTAATGGCATTTTTGGACATCAAAGGACATTTTTATCTATAGCTGTATTAAAAAAAAGATCTTAAAGTTTTAGCCAAATATATTTAGGAAATTGGGGGGGGGGGGGGCTGTTCACATTTATTGCCACTAAGCTACTATCATCTTTTTAAAATGGAGTTGAGGCTCTAATATATGTATATTTTTGTTCCAGCCCTGAAAATAATGAACACCATTGAAGGGTAAGAGCGACTACATGCGATTGTATTGCCGCGGTAAACCGAGCCTGAACGGAATGTACAGTGTAGCCTCGCATTTTATCAGGACTGAAGCTGCTTCAAAAGAAACAACTGCATTTTCAAAGATAAATCAATGTGCTTTTGTTCTTTTTTTTTTTAACTTCCATCCCAACTATGAATACTAGAGGTGTAACGGTACGTCAAAAATTCTGTTTGGATCCGTACCTTGGTTTTAAGGCTGCATACAGAATCAACATCACCACCAAAAACAAACAAAAACAGAAATCAACATTTCACACATTATTGAAATCTTTTTTTCTTTTTGCTTGCAATTACACTTCCTGCCCCCTTCCCTAATAAGTTCCACGTGGGAGTTTGCTCCTACTCAAAAATTTAAATGCGTGTGCCGTTACACCTGAGATGAACACCCATTTAGCGACTCCACACGGTGCTCGGAGATCATAAAAATATACATACACTGTAGCCAAGGCATTCGCATTTCTTATAAATACCTTTTCTGACGGTTACGATATGATACATAACATCAAATAGGGCTACTTCGATTTTACGAATAGGCATAGCTGATACCTATCAAACAAAAATCCATTTGTGAATAGGATTGTAGAGTTACAAAGCCACAAAAAAATAAAAAATAAAAAACAACAACAAAAAAAAAAAACACAGGAAGTAGTTTCAAGTGCACAAAGGAAGTGCCAGGACGATTTTACTCCAACTTTACGGGGAACACCTCCAACCTTGTCCGTAGGTTTAACATTATGATTAGCACTTGAGAGAAACCTCCGAGATTATCTGTATCTTGAAAAAAGTGCAATTGATTTACTATGTGCAATACTGTGTATTTTATACTGTTGAAAGAAAAATAAACGATTTAATATGCAAACGATGAAAAAAATAAAAGCAGACACCTACAAAACTTGGAATTATTTGTCCAGACAGTCAAATGATGTTGCACTGTGTTCATTCAACATCATTTTGCATTTTTCGCTATCAGGTGCCAAAAACGGTATCTCCGATCTTGATCGGCGTCATGTTTACTCCGTTCCAGTGTGAGGTGCCAAAACTTGTCTGACTTCCAAGGGTATTGGCATTTCTCCCCTCCGTGATCGAAACGATAAAGCGAGACTCGTTGACTAATCTATATCGTTTACTCAAAGGCTATATTGATCCCAAATGCAAAGTGACAACGCTGCCATCTATGGGGATCTGCTGGTCATTACTGTGGTTTACAAATTTGATATTCACAAACCAGGCGAGACTCCTCCGCGCCTGACAAATGGACTTGAATTTTTTAAATGAAACGCAGTTTGGAAATGGGCCTAAAATTTGAGAGTACATCTTGATCGAGGCCAGCTTTCTTGAGCAACAATTAATTGACTTTTTTTTTTTCTAGAGTCAAATCAAGTAGATGTACTCACCTCCCCTTGCAAAATAATGGCATTTGTTATACACAACGTAATAGGCTTCTCAACCTTTTCTTAAATGTGCCAATTAAGTCTTCTGTATCCTTTACAAACCCAAGTGATAAACACCGGATAACAGTCTCTATTCTGCTGTATTTTGTTGCAGGGCCTTAAAAAAAAAAAAAAAAAAAAAAAAAAAAGACACTCAGAGATTGAACGCGGGAGAGCAACTGATTACGATGCAGTGCCATTTCTCGCTCTGCTTCTTGGCTCTGCAGCACTTTGAGTTCAGTAGCAAAAGAGAAAAAGGCAGCGAGGCAAAGATCTAAAAACGGAAGTTTTCCCTTTTTTTTGAGGGCTGTCACGCAGGAAACAACAAACAGGATGTCAATCCAGGAAGGCGACGTATTGAAATAACACGAGACCGTGGCAGGGTAGAACAAGCAACGTTTAGTAATATGAAAATCAAGTCAAACTACTCGCTCTTCAAAGATGCTAAGCGGTCATGTGACAGATGGCGCCAAAGCAATACTTTTATATTAGACATGGCTTCGGCTAGGGCACAAAAGACGAAGTTTTTCAGCAAATGATGGTATGTTCCCCACACAAATGGTGAATTTGCAACACTGCAATATCCAGCTCGACATCATCCGAAGGGCAGCGCGGCGACCCATCTGCGTGACGCCGCTTCATCTACATTCCGTCCGAGCGCCAGGGAAAACTGAGGAGTGAGCGGAGGGAAGCGGAGTAGAACACTAATGCATAAATCGAAACGGGAGAGGATGCCACTCAGTGCGACAAGGTCAGCGGCCGGGATGCTGTGACCGCTGTTGGAGGCGACGGCCACGCTTCCTGCCAGGCTGCTCAAAAAATATATGATGTAAAAATTCATCCTGACTGATGATTAAATGGTTCTGGGAGCGGTTTCAAAGGCAGAACCCCTTGATTTGAAAAGGAAATACATTTTAGCAAGGCTCCAGGCCACTTTTACACTTGTAAATAACGTTCTGTGGTCCAATTTTTTTTTTTTTATTCTTTAGTGGCTAAATTAAACTGCATGTGGCTGACAAGTTTCTTTTGAACCTAAGCATTACGTTTTTCACAAAACAGGCTTACTCAAACTGAACTATTTCTATTCTTATTGTCAAAAATAAATACATTTAAATTTAAATTGGTTCATAATGCGTAAGATCAACAGAGCACGTGGGGACAGACCAATACAATCGATTAATGCTTACTTGGAGGCCCTATCGCTCAGCATTACACACTTAGGTGGCAACGCGGGTGGTCACAGGCAGGCAGACGAGTTTCATGAACCAGGGAGCCTGCATTGAATGCGCACCGCAAGAGAAGGATGGTTTAATACAACCCGCACGCAGGAGAGCTGATTGCCTTACGGGCAAAGTAGTCGGCCAACTCCGTGTCGGGGGCTGCGGGATCAAAAGGCCCCAACGGTAAAGGTTTCAACAGCAAGACGTCATCCGGTGCGAAGCTTGTTTACCGGCAGCCATATTAGTATGCAAAGTGCCCGCGAGAAGAAAAGCGGTTCATCTAAAGTGATGACATTACACATGCAGCCTTTTGTGTCCGCGCTCAATGTGTGGATCTTCAACTTGGGCCGGCAGTTTTGGCTAATTAACACGGCCACTTCAGCGGGCTCTGAATGAACGAGGAAATGAAACGGGCCGACGAACAATGGCGTTATCGCCTAAGATTTGCACAACACAAGGCCCGCCAGAGAGTCTTGGACGGGAATGAATCGGAGAGGAAAGCTGGGAGAGGACACAGAAGAGGGAGTCCATGGCCGCCTCCAGACTGTGGAGGAAGCATTTTATGCAGAGCGATTGGCAAAACACGAGTCGCAATGCATTACTAGAATAAAAATGGCAAGCTCCAGTCTGTGAATGCCTTTTATAAAGAAAAGTGAAGCGGGAAACAACTTCAAGCTTTTAATTGGCAGCATAAAAAGGGGTTTCAGATAATACCCAAAAGGGCAAAATGCAGTAGGACAGCTGCTCTGGGTTATTTTTACCATGGATTATTCAGGTAAAAATGGATTTTGTACATTATTTGTCATTCTGGGGGGGGTGTAGCTGTATTTTAAGCGCGTCATAAAAGTATTGAGTGTCCTCAAAAACTCTTCCATTAAAAAAAATATACATACACTTTATAATTTCACATTGATGATCCGCTCTTGTCAACGTCCGATGACAAACTAACGGAGACAGACTGCACGTCAGAGATAAGGCACGGCATTCAAAGAGGGAACAAATGAAAAGTACTTTTATTTGGAGACTGCTCGGGAGACGGATTAAAGTCATGCAAATTGTGCAGAGTATTTATACTTCGCACACGTTGCTGCCAGGCATCGCCAATCGTCTAATGAGTCGGAGATCAGACATATGCAAGAAGATAAGACACACCAAAAAAAAAAAAAAAGTCTGCTGCATAGATCGAAACCTCTTTGAGTGAAATTGTGAGTGAAAGTATTCCGTTTTAAGTAAGACTTTGTCTTAAACCTCTGAAAGTGGAGTGTGTGCACGTCAATGTCGACTTACAATGTGGGGGGAGTCTCGTCCCATGGAGATGACGGTCCTGTTCACGGTCCTAAGCAGCTTCTCCATGATGATCTGCACATGCCACTGGGTGGGGCCCTGCACACAGGTGAGCAACACATGAGCACAAAAGTAACTCCTGGTAACTTACAGTTGGCAGTGCAGCGTGTTTGCAATAAAACTGGATTATTTTGGGGGGGGGGGGGGGGGGGGGTCGCCCACAGGGAGCGCCTGAAAGCGGGCGTTCCTCACCACGTCCTTCCTGTAGAGCACCTCCAGGATGTCGCTGAGCAGCTGGCAGCAGGCCTTGGGCTCCTCGCGCCTCTCCAGGTGGAACTTCAGCTGCTCCGTCATCAGAGGCAGGAGAATCTCACGGCAATCTGCGGAGAGCGCAAAACAGTCGCCAATGGTGTCAAGAGAGTGGGGGGGCGGTGGGGCGGCATATGTCGATGCAGACGGGTGGCGCTCTCGAATGGATTCCTCCTCCGAGCTCGGGGATTCAATGTAAACAATGCGCTTACCAGACGAATTGGAAACATGACAACAGGTGTTCCGCCCGCAACCCGCCATCGAGGAAATCCCTGACACACAGGTGTTTAACAGAACAGCAACATGGAAAAAGCGGGGGCGGGGGCATCTTTTTACATGCAGTGTAAAAGGGGCTTCTGATACCACCCCCGAGGGCAGAAAATGTTTCACCACCTTATTCTGTGTACTTGCCGTTTACACAGAACAGCAAGATACAAAAACACTGTCTTGTACAAGCAGCGCAAAACGGCTTCTGATCCTACTACTCAAGGCGGAAAATTACCAAGTACATTTTCAAAAATGGTAACGTCAGTACTTGTCACCCCGACTCCATGACACACAGACAAAAAGCAGAAATGCAGATTTTTACAGGTGACATAAACGAGCTTCGATTACTATCTCCGAAAAGCAAAAACTGCGGCGCGGACTCGGGTTTCCTATTTTTCACGACTGTGTTGCTGTGGTAAGGAATCATTGAAAGAGAAAACAGACCCCTGGCTGATGGCCTTTTTAGCGAGCGAGCCCGCAGGCAGGTGGCGTGACCTATTCCATTACTGTTTCGTACCGTGATGGGTAAAGAGATCACTGTGGACGATGTCGATCAGACAGTCCAGTTTCTGCTTCACCAGGCGACCCGGAGGAACCTTTAGGATGAACTCCGTGAACAGCGTGCTGTGGAAATGAAGACAAAACAAAGGTCATCAGGAGCCCCCTGACCGCCTCCTTTTGTACTTCTATTGAATCTATTTAGTGTATTTTTTTTGTTGTTGTTGACAATGTTGGCATTTTTCTAATATTTGTATATTTGTCATACTTCAAATACGCCGTGGAAATAACTTTTTTTTTAACTTCTGAAGCCTTCCTGAAAAAGTGATGCACGGATCACCGGCAGCTTTAATATTGCGTCGCCGCATCAAAGTTTTGAACGATTTATAGTTCCATGTGTGTTGACCTATTGTCCTGATATATTTGGAGAGCAGGTGGTCAGACTCCAAATTCTGTGTTTTATTTACAAAGAGCCGGCTGCTGATTGACTGGAGTATTTATTTCCCAGGTCTGTGACTCCAGTGACTGCGAAGCAAATATTTGCAGAGTTTAACAAAGCTTTATTGGCTCAAGACGTGCTGTCGGCGCATTGGAGT